CAAGTTGGGCCAACTGTTGGTGTGTCTGAGGGCAGCTTTAGAATTGCGTACACGAACACGGCACCATTCGTCATTCATAGTTACATAATTCATAAATTCTTATTTTTTGTTTCCATGTTTTTCTGGATATTTGAACTTATTTACGCGAAATATAAATAAAAATTATTAGAAAATTTTATTCCTTCTCTTCGAACGTGTTTCTCTTTAAAAAATTATGTATTTTTATTAAGTCATGTTTTCTACCTTTTCAGAAAATATTGACATTTTCAATAAATATTTACAATCTTCAAATCTATAAGTCAAAAAAATGTTGATAAAAACAATCTCAAAATGTTCGGCATTTTGCTTCTAAAATTGTGCGCTTATATATGGTCTGTTCCATGGTAGAAGAAAATAGGTAGACGCATCGACACAGCTGCTGAGACAATGAACTGTCAAACGAATTTTGGAATTGAAAATGTTGAATGAAAAATCATATAAATTTGTAAAAAATGTTGAAAAACATGTATTATAATAAACTCCGAATAACGTGGTATAAGAAAACATATGAAAATCTACTTACATTTGAACACAAACATGTACACACTGGGTTGGCAGCCGCTGGCCGAAACTGGAATCTTGTTGTTTCGGGTCAATCCGGTATCGTAGAACATCATCACATTGTGCATCATTCTTGCAATTCAATTGCAACGGACTTCGAGGCAAAATAGATGAGATAGTGGAATTTATGAGTGGGAGGAATATTAAGATCGCAGCGGTGCAGGAAACCAAGCTGAATGAAAATTGCAGCCTACAACGTTGTTATGGTTACAACGTACTAAGGAAGGATCGCATCAGAAGTGGAGGTGGGGGATTAGCGTTCCTGTTACACCATTCTGTTCAGTACAGACATCTCTCGCTTGAGCTAGTCTATAGTGACCCATACATGGAATGTATGGGGGTAGCAGTCAAGTGTGGAACTGCCGAGATAGAGGTGCTGAATGTGTATATCCCGCCGATTAATAGCTGTGATCCGCGTTATTTGCCTGATATTAGCCCATTATTTGTAGGCAATAACCGCCTGGTACTAGGGGATTTTAATGCCCACCATGAGTTGTGGCATTCCGTCCTAGGTAATGACCAGAGGGAATCAGCGCTGGCAGAGCAGATTTACTGCTCCACATTCTGCACGGTTAACGAGGATGCCCCCACCCGAATAAGAGGAGAGTGTCACAGTTCGCCAGACTTAACCATAGTGTCACCCGGTCTGATAAATGACGTGACTTGGCAAGCCGTCATTTCTCTTGGCTCAGACCATCTCCCGATAATCGTCTCCATAAGCAGGTCGCCCGATTTCATAACCTCTGAACGCCGCACTTTCCTTAACCATGGGAAAGCTCACTGGCCAGTGTTCAGATAATTCACCAACCGCCGCTTCAGAGAACTGCCCAACCCTTCTGATGTTCGGGTAGCAGAAAGGATTTTCCGAAACATCATCAGAGCTACAGCCGCTCGCTATATACCTGCTGGTCGAATACCCGAGATAAGACCAAACTTCCCAGCAGAGGCAACGATATTAGCAAATAAACATGATGATCTCCGTCGTACCAACCCTACTGATCCTAGAATCAGTGATTTGAAAGTGGAAGTCAACCGGTTGGTACAGGAGCATAAGAGGAAAAAGTGGCTAGACCATCTGAAGTGCTGCAACATTGGAACCGATATGAGTAAGCTGTGGGTAACGGTTAAGTCGCTCTCGAACCCTGGAAAAAAGGATAATAGGACCTCAGTCACTTATAACGACGTAACGGTGACTGATCCGAAGAGGTGCGCGGAATATTTTAACCGACAATTTGTCGAGCACCCCGAGAGCGATAGGGCGAAGCGAAGAGTACTACGTCGTATCAGATCTCTTCCCGCCGAGGAGGAACCACCACAGTTTACGATGGGTGATGTTGCAAATGTCATCCGTAACGCTAAGTCATCCAAAGCGTCAATTGTAATGTTGAAGCAGCTGGATACGCCGGGAGTCGAGTACTTAACGAAAGTTTTCAATTTGTCGCTAGCCACCCACATAGTGCCCGAAACCTGGAAAATGGGCCGGGTGGTCCCGCTACTGAAGCCAGTCAAGGATGCCAGTAAATGCGAATCGTACAGGCCGATTTCGCTTTTGTCGCCAGTAGCAAAGACTCTTGAGGCTTTACTCCTCCCCAGCATTAGAGGAAGCTATACAGTTGCCAACCACCAGCACGGATTCCGTCCACAACATAGTACCACAACAGCATTACACGCCATTTCCACACATATTAGTAGAGGACTGAACCAGAACAGGCCGTGTGACAGAACAGTGTTGGTAGCCCTTGACCTATCAAAGGCCTTTGATAGGTCAATCATGCCACACTGTTTGAGGACTTACAGAGAACTACCCTCCGGCCAAGTTTGAAACGTTGGATAATCAACTATATTTGTGGACGCCAGTCGTACGTGGAATTCCGGAACAAGAAGTCCAAAGCCCGTAGAGTGAAACAGGGAGTTCCACAAGGTGGGGTGATATCTCCGGAACTGTTTAACCTCTACCTTTCCGGAATTTCTCGCCCTCCAGACGGCATTGAGATCGTAACGTATGCGGATGATTGTACGATCATGGCGTCGGGTCCAGTGGTCGATGACATATGCGAAAGGTTGAACCCCACGCGAGGAATATGAAAATATCCACCACGAAATCAACGGCCACACTCTTTACCACATGGTCTGTGGAGATGAGAACACAGCTGAATGTTCAGGTCGAGGGGAATCTAATACCGACCACGAACTAACCCAAGATTCTTAGGGTAACGTTCGACAGCATGTTCAAGTCATCCGCGCAAGCCACAGCTATCTGCGACAAGATGAAAAGGAGGAACAAGGTCCTCAAGGCGCTAGCCGGCAGCTCTTGGGGTGCGGACAAAGAAACCTTGTTGACCTCTTATAACGCGATAGGTCGATAGGTCAGCTATGCGGCTCCAGTGTGGTCTGCGAATACTTGTGCTACGCAGTGGAAGCATATCCAGACCTGCCAGAACGCTGCACTGAGAACTGCGACAGGGTGCCTCCTCATGACACCAGTGGACCATCTACATGAGGAGGCGAAAGTCCTTCCCTTACGTCAGCATAATCATATGCTTTCGTTGCAGTACCTGCTTGGGTGTTACCGCGAGAGGCATCCCAACAATCATATGGTGGATAACTCTCCCCCACCCAGGCGTGTCAGGAAGGACATACATGATCTAGAGAGGGAGGTCCAGCGCTACAAGAGAACCTCTAGATCAAGAAGCCTATCAGGCAGGTCTGAGTGGCATTCACACCGATGCAGTCGCGGATGCTAGTAGAAGTTATAAAGTGAATGCCGTCCTCGGAGTCCACCCCCCCCATCCATTGCAGCTGAAGAACGTCAGCTGCCTAGACAAACCAGGGTAGTTTTGGCGCAATTACGTTCAGGATGGTGTAGTCGTCTCAATTCGTATTGGGCACGAATTGATGAAGATGTGCGTGACGCCTGCCCGGCGTGCGATACAGGCCCGCACAATACGCTACACCTTTTTAATTGCTCAGCCAAACCTACCCAACTCACTCCAGAAGATCTCTGGCTACAGCCCGTTAAAGTAGCCGAATTTCTAAACCTGGAGCTGGAACCAGATTAATACATACAAACACATACATGCACTACTGCTACAACAACAACTTATATTTGAAAAGACATTTACAATTTTTTGGCATATCAATGTTTCCAAGCGTTGATGCATGTACCTATATTATTCTACCATTGTCTGTTCTAGAACTGCAAGAATGTAATTTTTTTTACTACGATAACCGATTTTGCCTTTATGATATCAAGAAAATTGCAAAAATATGAGATTCTGGCAGGTACTGGAACAGAGTAATAAATAGAGAATAACATTTTCTTTTGTCTGAATGTATACATGCCGTCCAAAATTATACTTCGTATTTATGATTTTCATTTTTTCTGAGATTTTTTGAAATTATATTAAAGTTTTCTGTTTTGTATTTTCAAAAGTCATAATTAATTTTTTTAGTGATGGGACATATTTTATCTTTGTTTTAAGAGTGAACTTTTCAGGAAATTTTATTTGGTAAATTAAGTAGTTTTTCCAAAGTTAAAGGTCAAGCAACAAATAGAGAGCGAATCAAGTGCTGTGAAAATGCCACATTAAGTTTTCTGAAAAATTTTAGTACCATATTTATTTTTGTTTTCGCAGAAATCAGAAAAGAACATTAGTTAAGCATATTCCTTTATTTTGTGAAATGTTGGCATTTATATCCTAGGTTGTATCCATGGTAGAGGAATATAGGTAGATGCATCAACGCTTGGGAACATTGATTGATGATTGCTAATCGGAGGTTGTAATGATATGTATTTTTCAACAGTTTTTTCAAATTTCAATAATTTTTCATTCAAGATTTTCAATTCCTAAATCGTTTTGACAATCCATTGTCCCAGTGGCTGTGTCAATGCGACTACAAAAATACAGCCCCGAGGCTATGCCCGCTTCCTGCCAGTCTCATTCGAAATTATTTTTTTCCTATTTTTCATATTTTTCCTCATTTTTAAAAAGAGTTAAATAGCGCGACAAATGGATAAATTGTCTGGATTTTTCTCTCAAAAATATGATCCTAACTGTTCAATCTTTCAATTTCATGGCTATAGTTTTAATGCGCGAGCCGCAATTCATGTGTCTTCCAATCATTGGTTTTAAAATATATTTTTTTTAATTTTTCAAAAGAATTAATGCATACACAAAATTGGCAGAAGTCGGGCACACTTAGAAGAAAATTGTAATCAGCTGTTAGCTCTATCTTATCCTTATTGTACCATGGTTGTATCTAAACACCCAATATTAACCGACTGGATTCAATAGTATAAATGAAGAAACATATCTTTTCGTGTGAAGCACCTTTGAAATGCTAAATGCACGCAATTTGTCTAGTTGTGACTTACCGTAGTCGTCGTAATATTTTAGATACAATTTTGAGCAATTGTGAAAAAAACAATCGATTTTTCAGACCTTGCGATTCTGTTAAGTTTTCTGAAAAAGTACAAGTACCATGTTTATTTCAGCTTGAGTTGTTGTTGCTTATGATCAGTTAGAAATCAAGAAAAGAACATTGTTTTAGCAGATTATTTTAGCGTATTCTGTTTTTTGTGAAATGTAGGTGAATAAGAACATGTTTTGTTTGTGATTTGTGCATAGATAACGTGTATGTATATTGTGTATATTTATACGTATGTACATATATATATATATATATATATATATATATATATATATATATATATATATATATATATATATATATATATATATATATATATATATAAATGTGTATAATTGTGTACCCCTTTCAAAAAGTAACTCACACCAAAGAATCAAGTAATTTTGCTATAGGATTGACATACATCACAAGATACCCAATCTGACTCAAAAAATCTGATGTCTTTTATTATGCTATTGGTTATATGTTGGTTTATGCCCTGTTAAAAGTTACTAAGAAACTTCTGCTGCTTAGTCTGTTATTGCGAGGACAAAGACAGTTTTACACGGTCGGCCAAAAAGGATGTTTTCGGTGCAACATGGAAACATGGGCAGTAGTACTATTATGGGGGATTCCGACGTTTATGACTTCACAAAAGCTGAAAATATTGCCCGATGGAAGGGGATATTCATACCATCTCTGAAAAAAGTACTGTTCTTATTTCCAATGATAAAAGGTATGGTTTAAAAAAATACATTAATATTTTTTAGGTTTTGGAACAAGTTCATCCTCGGTTGACTGCCAAAGAAGAGGCGTTAATGTATGTAGAAACATTGTGCTTGCGAATATTGGCAATGTTATGCGCTAAGCCTTTGCCCCATACAGTCCAGGTAAACATAATTTAAGAAAAATGAAAAATAACTTGCATTGAATTTTTTAGGACATTGAAGAGAAAGTCCGAAAATATTTTCCATCGCCGATAGATTGTTGGGCATTAAATGAAGCGAAGGAGACGCTGGTTTCAAAGAAACGCAAATCGGTCCTTCCAACGGAACGGGTCCACACATTACTCCAAAAGGTAAAATAGTAAAAAAATATAAAGAGCTCTCTTCGGGTTGAATTTTTTCATGGTACTAAAATTGAAGGCTTTCATCTAGCTTAGCAAAAAATTGTCGCTTTTTTATTTATTTATCTTTTTGTAGAGTAGTTTCGTTTTTTACCGAAAGTTCGGGTCCAAAGTTTATACCTGCTTCTACTAAACCGTGCATAGAAATATAGGCTGAAAAAATAATTTACAATTTATTAAATGGGAGCAAGTTGAGTTTAGGGGCTATGCTCGGATCGTTCTGAAATTTTTACCACAGGTAGGTATTTTTAACCTGATTACGGCAAAGTAATTTTTTTGTGGGGGAAATACCCGGTTACCCGGTTATTCGACCCGAAAGTTCAGATACAATATTCGGTTTTTATCCGGTTCTACTGAACCGATAACTACGATATGGAGATCATTTGAAAGCTTATGAAAATACCTATCCAACATGATGGGTTACTAGAACCGGTTTCAGAGTAATGCAAGAAAATTGATATTTTTTACTAGTACTTTTTGAAAACCCCATAAAAACTCAAAAATGGACCCATTATAGGGTATTAAAATCTGCCTACCTTATAACAGCCAACACTATTACCTTTCTAAAATGGTGTCATACGTGTTGATATCTTTTGTAATTCCGAAGATATTAGTAATAGAAATCATTAAATTGAAATTTTTCTTCAGTCAAATGTATCTAACCTCTATAGCATTTTGAAACAGACGGCCTTCTGCCGTTGCTTGAGGTTTTCTCCTCTGTTGTATGTCCAACACCGGCTACGCGATCCATAGTTTTTGTAAACATTGTAATTTTTGTAAGTAGCCGGCCTTCGGCCGGAGCTTGGGATTTTCTCCTCTATGGTATGTCCAACGACGGCTACGCGATCCATAATTTTTCTAAACATTATAGTTGTTGTAAGTCGACGGCCTTCGGCCGGGGCTTGAGATTTTCACCTCTGTGGTATGTCCAACACCGGCTACGCGATCCAAAGTTTTTGTAAACATTGTAAATTTTGTAAGTAGCCGGCCTTCGGCCGGGGCTTGAGATTTTTTCTCCTGGAGTATGTCCAACACCGGCTACGCGATCCATAGTTTTTCTAAATATTATAATTTTTGTAAGTAGTTGGAATTCGACTCTAAAGGCAATATCTTCGGAACTACAAAGCTATAAGAGGTACATATTAGTGGGTGAAAACTCAATTTCATGATCTGAACTTTCGGGTCGAATAACCGGGTAACCGAGTATTTCCCCCACAAAAAAATTACTTTGCCGTAATCAGGTTAAAAATACCTACCTGTGGTAAAAATTTCAGAACGATCCGAGCATAGCCCCTAAACTCAACTTAAGCCCAGCAATTTTTAAACTCTTTATATTTTTGGTAATTAACGAAACATTTCGATAAGTCAGCGACAAAAATAAAATAGTCGGTAGAACCTATTTCTTGCCAGCCTTCGGAGCTTGGGATTTTCTCCTCTGGTTTATGTTCCACACCGACAGAACAATTCGTAGTTGTTCGGAACTCTAATACTATTTGTAAGTAGGCGGACTTCGGCCAATTTTTCTTAACTTTATATCTTTTGTTCAATAGAACAAAGAAGGCGTAAGGAAAACCACAAAAATAGTATGAGGCGACCCCAGTGTCATAAAAACGAAGAACCTTCTATTATTAGGAAAGAAAGAGAGGTAGTGCAGTAACATCTTATACAGGGCATATGAAGATGTTGAAACTTTGTTGCATTTTCTCTACCAATTAAATAAAAACAGGTGAGGAATCTTGTTAAAGCAACTTAATTTCATATATAATAGACTGGAAACTTCCCGTCTTTTAAAAACCTCTTAGTCTATTTTGTCAACCAGGACATGTGTCGACCGTTTTCGCTCCTCTTTTCAACTAACCTAACCATAACTCTTGTAAGGAGCCGGCCTTGAAGCTAATATTTTCGAAACTACAAGAGATATGGACACATGCGTGTTTTTTAAACCGAAATATCAAATAATTTATAAGAGGAGGTTATTTTGCGATGTAAATCTGCCGAACTTTTCCTTTAATTGTTGTTTTTTAATTGTTTGTTTGGACCCCATTTTGTTCGAGCTGAATTAATTATAACCATTTCTAAAAGTAATAAATGTGTCGAACATAATCAAAAATTATTATTGCATCAAAAATTATATGCCTACGTTTTAATAAAAATATTCGGATTTACTATGTTCTAAGGATGCGCAGCTAGATGAATTCGGCCACTGCTTTGATCTATTGTGTTCATCCTAGAAAGAAATGCAAGTTTTGGGGATAGGAGAGATTGTAGGGTGATCTGTCTAGCCAGTGAATGGCTTTGGCAAATTTGTTGGATAGGTATTTTCATAAGCTTTCAAGTGATCTCCATTTTGTAGTTATCGGTTCAGTAGAACCGGATAAAAACCGAATATTGTATCTGAACTTTCGGGTCGAATGACCGGGTAACCGGGTATTTCCCCCACAAAAAATTACTTTGCCGTAATCAGGTTAAAAATACCTACCTGTGGTAAAAATTTCAGAACGATCCGAGCATAGCTCCTAAACTCAACTTAAGCCCAGCAATTTTTAAACTCTTTATATTTTTGGTAATTAACGAAAAATTTCGATAAGTCAGCGACAAAAATAAAATAGTCGGTAGAACCTATTTCTTGCCAGCCTTCGGAGCTTGGGATTTTCTCCTCTGGTTTATGTCCCACACCGACAGAGCAATTCGTAGTTGTTCGGAACTCTAATACTATTTGTAAGTAGGCGGACTTCGGCCAATTTTTCTTAACTTTATATCTTTTGTTCAATAGAACAAAGAAGGCGTAAGGAAAACCACAAAAAAGTATGAGGCGACCCCAGTGTCATAAAAACGAAGAACCTTCTATTATTAGGAAAGAAAGAGAGGTAGTGCAGTAACATCTTATACAGGGCATATGAAGATGTTGAAACTTTGTTGCATTTTCTCTACCAATTAAATAAAAACAGGTGAGGAATCTTGTTAAAGCAACTTAATTTCATATATAATAGACTGGAAACTTCCCGTCTTTTAAAAACCTCTTAGTCTATTTTGTCAACCAGGACATGTGTCGACCGTTTTCGCTCCTCTTTTCAACTAACCTAACCATAACTCTTGTAAGGAGCCGGCCTTGAAGCTAATATTTTCGAAACTACAAGAGATATGGACACATGCGTGTTTTTTAAACCGAAATATCAAATAATTTATAAGAGGAGGTTATTTTGCGATGTAAATCTGCCGAACTTTTCCTTTAATTGTTGTTTTTTAATTGTTTGTTTGGACCCCATTTTGTTCGAGCTGAATTAATTATAACCATTTCTAAAAGTAATAAATGTGTCGAACATAATCAAAAATTATATGCCTACGTTTTAATAAAAATATTCGGATTTACTATGTTCTAAGGATGCGCAGCTAGATGAATTCGGCCACTGCTTTGATCTATTGTGTTCATCCTAGAAAGAAATGCAAGTTTTGGGGATAGGAGAGATTGTAGGGTGATCTGTCTAGCCAGTGAATGGCTTTGGCAAATTTGTTGGATAGGTATTTTCATAAGCTTTCAAGTGATCTCCATTTTGTAGTTATCGGTTCAGTAGAACCGGATAAAAACCGAATATTGTATCTGAACTTTCGGGTCGAATAACCGGATAACCGGGTATTTCCCCCACAAAAAAATTACTTTGCCGTAATCAGGTTAAAAATACCTACCTGTGGTAAAAATTTCAGAACGATCCGAGCATAGCCCCTAAACTCAACTTAAGCCCAGCAATTTTTAAACTCTTTATATTTTTGGTAATTAACGAAAAATTTCGATAAGTCAGCGACAAAAATAAAATAGTCGGTAGAACCTATTTCTTGCCAGCCTTCGGAGCTTGGGATTTTCTCCTCTGGTTTATGTCCCACACCGACAGAGCAATTCGTAGTTGTTCGGAACTCTAATACTATTTGTAAGTAGGCGGACTTCGGCCAATTTTTCTTAACTTTATATCTTTTGTTCAATAGAACAAAGAAGGCGTAAGGAAAACCACAAAAATAGTATGAGGCGACCCCAGTGTCATAAAAACGAAGAACCTTCTATTATTAGGAAAGAAAGAGAGGTAGTGCAGTAACATCTTATACAGGGCATATGAAGATGTTGAAACTTTGTTGCATTTTCTCTACCAATTAAATAAAAACAGGTGAGGAATCTTGTTAAAGCAACTTAATTTCATATATAATAGACTGTAAACTTCCCGTCTTTTAAAAACCTCTTAGTCTATTTTGTCAACCAGGACATGTGTCGACCGTTTTCGCTCCTCTTTTCAACTAATCTAACCATAACTCTTGTAGGGAGCCGGCCTTGAAGCTAATATTTTCGAAACTACAAGAGATATGGACACATGCGTGTTTTTTAAACCGAAATATCAAATAATTTATAAGAGGAGGTTATTTTGCGATGTAAATCTGCCGAACTTTTCCTTAAATTGTTGTTTTTTAATTGTTTGTTTGGACCCCATCTTGTTCGAGCTGAATTAATTATAACCATTTCTAAAAGTAATAAATGTGTCGAACATAATCAAAAATTATTATTGCATCAAAAATTATATGCCTACGTTTTAATAAAAATATTCGGATTTACTATGTTCTAAGGATGTGCAGCTAGATGAATTCGGCCACTGCTTTGATCTATTGTGTTCATCCTAGAAAGAAATGCAATTTTTGGGGATAGGAGAGATTGTAGGGTGATCTGTCTAGCCAGTGAATGGCTTTGGCAAATTTGTAATTGATTATGAGATCTATGCAACAAGAACATTCGAGTTTCTATCTCCCACCTGCCAAATAGCCTATGCTATTGTTGGATAATATTGGACATGTGGAAAGTATATGTTCGATCGTCTCTACCTCTTATTCATCTTCACATAATCTGCATAGTCAGGAACACTGTTGTTCCATCCTGGGGACGGATATTTGATACAGCATTGAATAGTCAGTATGCC